ACTCTTTCCTGTTCTCATTAATTTGTGTGTGTCGAATTTTACTGATTCTTCTTGTTTACGTTTAATTGCTTTTGTATGTTTGTCAGTTTTAAGATGTTGTGTTAMAWTGAATTTTTTTTCACAATTTACTTTAATTTCACAGTATTTGCAGAAAAGAATAGATGAATCGTGTGAAAATACGTATCTGAACCGAATTCTTGTACATAGCTTCTTAACCGTCGGGCTAGTGATAATTTATCTTTTGGCAAAAATTGTAAATTTTAAAGAAAACTGTGCTGGCCGAAAAGTGACCGTGGCCGAAAAGAGTAGGGTAAGTGTTGGCCGAAGGTGACACTGGCGGAAACGGAAGGGTACATTTTGGCCGAAAACGGGGCCACCCAAAAATACGGGTCTCTATGAATCGCTTACAAACATAGCCGTCTCTCACTCGAAACCCTCACTGTCCATCTACTGTGGTGCTTATTACGTCCTTAAATATTATTTTACAAAGTGCTGTCTCAGCTCATTTGCTTGGCTGGCCTAATATTACGCAATTTAAACATATAGCTAAAAGAAGTTATATTTTGTCTATTATTATTAGTTGGCATATGCCACATACAACAATTACAAGAGACATTTAATGTATTATGATAATTATTACAAACACYCATTTGTTATTTTTTCCGCGCTATTYGAGGCAATTTCAATAAAACATCCAATTGTTTTATTGTAAAATGTATTTAAAAAAATAAAAATTATAAAAATAAAGTCAGTTGACTGGAATAAAAAAAAAAAAAATTAAATAATTGGTTTATTACACTTACACACGGTATGAATAATGAACTAATGAGTGCGTTCAGCGCTAAACAGGGCTACACCCGTTTTTCAGTTCGTATAGTATATTATTACACTAAAGCTGCTTTTTAGTTTATTTCTATTATTACAACGATACGTTTAATAATTCTACTTCTTTACTTTTATAATTAAAATAAAATAATATCGGTTTTTGTTTAAATGAATTCCCCTAAACATAGTTCGGGATATATATCTACTATTAATGTAGAACAAACCAGAGACGAAGTCTACAAATTCAATTGCAGCAAGAAAGACGGAGAAAAAAAGTAATCTTCTATATTTTATACAAATAATATACACTCAACAGAGAAATTTTAATGAAGAGAGTAATACTGTATTAGCATATCTATTACAAAAGTATTTTGTTTTTGAAGTGCGTAAATGTAATTTATAATTTCTGTAAGAYGTAGACGATATATTTTTAAATTTAGAACAATTTATAATTTTACTATTTCGAACAAAATTGTAATTGAAAGTTTTCAAAATTTAATTTTGTGTTTATTATATTAATATATTGTAATATTATATAGTATTATAAGAG